AACTTCAGTACAACAAGAAGAGTCAGAGACATTGAAAAAATTTCTAAAGCAATGGCAAGAACAAATGCAGATAGCAGAAGACTTGGATGATCGAACAGCGCTAACATTGTTCATGGAAACATTAAGGTCCGGGGATCTACTCACTAGCCTGCGAAGAAAAAACCTCGAGACCTAGGCCCAAGCCATCCAGTGGGCCCATAAATACGCAGATGTAGAGGAAGCCTTGCGACAGAAAAGGAAGAGGAAAGAAGAACGACCTTGCGAAGATATAAGAACACATTTGGGTGATCGACCGTCAGAAAAGAAAAATAAATCAAGTGTCTACAAGGAACCCATCAACCACTGTTACAGAGCGGTCCCCGAACTAGAGTCCCGACCAGCGTACAATGCAAAATTACCTCGCCATACATCTGCCACGAGCCGACCACTACCACCCCTCTCACAACCAATCAACCGGTCGCTGTATATGAAACCTGCCGCTAGAGGACCTAAATATTGTCGCTACCACCGGAAGGTGGGTCACACCACCGAAGAATGCACCACTCTACAAAAAGAGATCGGAAACCTCATCCATAGAGGAAGATAGGCCACTCGCCCCAACCAGTGGTCACGACAACCGACGGAACCAGCCAAGGATCCCGTCCATAGAGAAAGACAGGCCACTCGCCACAACCAGTGGTCACGACAACCGACGAAACCAGCTGAGGATCCCGTCCATAGAGAAAGACAGGCCACTCGCCCCAACCAGTGGTCACGGCAACCCACGCAACCAGCTGAGGATCCCATCCATAGAGGGAGACCGGTCACTCGCCCCAACCAATGGCCACTACTACCCACACAACTAGCAGGGGACATTATCCCTACAGAACAAAAAATAGAACCCTCACTGCAAAGTCTCAGTTGGCAAGACGACGATTGTGAGGAACAGGAAGATCGAAATTGGAAACACAAACCCAAAATTCACTAGGAAAGCAAGACCTACAAATTCAAACCAAGAAGACACATTCGGAATTCAAGGCGGCTCAAGAAACACTATCAATGGTTGGGAAAATAATCTCGCATGGTTAGTTACTATGTACTATAGACTATCATATTATAGAATTTTAATAAAGTCATCAGTTCGATCTGAAAGGATTCCCGCGCCCACCCTTTACATGAAGTAAATGCATTCAAAATCCACGACAAGGAGGAAAAATTGCTTGTCATTGGAACCCTGGTAGTCCTGCCACTCTCTAGGACATGCACCACATAAAGACAATAGGGAGCGTTACACGGCGATGACCTCCAATATACATAAAATCATCCAAACTAATCACGTGCTTTGCCACCTAGTCATCCAGACTATTCATCCTAGCTGGTCACCCCGATTGGTCATCTAGGCGAACCAGTCATCTAGACTGGTCATCCCACCACTCAATGGTTGATAGACCTTCCCACCACTCGGTGGTCGATAGACCTTCCCACCTCTAAATGGTCGACTCGGCCTCCTACTACTCAGTGGTCAACTCGCCTTCCCACCACTCAGTGGTCGACTCGTCTTCCCACGACTCAGTAGTCGATAGACTTCCCACCCCTCAGTGGTCGTCACGCATAGAGTTGTAATCAGATCATAGTGAAACAAATGCATATAATTGTCGGGGTAAAAAACCTGGCAATATCAGACAACGGGGAATCTAAAAGATAACGGGGAGTTACGGGTGAAGGGTTTAGTGTAGAGTCTAGGGGTTATAGGAGATAAGTCTAGTCGGTATAAAGTCTAGGCCAGAGTCTAGGAGATAGCAGGGTATAAAGCATGGTCGTCAGGAAGTGGTCAAATGGAGTATGGGATATCATAATATGAGAACGGGAGACGTTCAGAAATATTTGGCGGATGAGCATACTGAAAGAGAACGGGAGACGTTCTCAAAAGTCTTCGGTGGATGAGCATACTGACAAAGAACGGGAGACGTTCTCAAAAGTCCTTGGTAGATGGGCATACTGATAGAGAATGGGAGACGCTCTCAAAAACCTTTGGCGGTTGGGCGTACTGGCTGAGAATGGGAGACGTTCTCAAAAATCTTTGGCGGTTAGGTGTACTAGCTGAGAACGGGAGACGTTCTCAAAAAAATTTTGGCGGTTGGGCCGCGTACTGGCTGAGAACGGGAGACGTTCTCAAAAATCTTTGGCGGATAGGTATATACTGACGAAGGCGTTCTCAAAAATCTTTGGCGATTAGGTGTACTAGCTGAGAACGGGAGACGTTCTCAAAAATTTTTTGCGGTTGGGCGTACTCGCTGAGAATGGGAGACATTCTCAAAAACCTTTGGCGGATGGGTATATACTGACGGAGAATGTTCTCAAAAATCTTTGGCGGTTGGGCGTACTGGCTGAGAACGGGAGACGTTCTCAAACATCTTTGGCGAACAAGCATACTTGTTGCGAACGGGCGACGTTCTCAAAATCGTTAGCGGTTGGGCATATGGGCATACTAACTAAGAACGGGTGACGTTTTCAAAATATTTGGCGAATGGGCATACTCAATGGATGGAACTGAATAAAGCTGAAAATAACATACACAAAACAAAGGAGCAGAAAAGGAATAGGAAAGCAAAACAAGCAGAATAGAAATTGCCATTACAAACCCAGTTGCCAAAAAAAAAAAAAAAAGTGCTATATGTCATCTAGGCAATAACATCCTTTTGCTCGGCTCATCCTGGCAACGAAATTATCAGCTCTTGGACCTACATTACCCGGCTGCTCAGAAGACACATCAGCATTAGAAAGATCAGCTAGCGCCTGAAGATCGACGGTCGAACCTAGATAAACATGGTCCAGAGGAATCTCTCACCGCTTGCTCAAGCCCTGCGACAGTCCAGAACCTAGAAAAAGATGGGTCAGGAGTAGTTTGCGACCTAAACAGATGAATAAAGTATCCTGGGTATAGCACTACCTCAAAGAAACAACAAGAGACAAACGGGGAGTGGGGAACGTACTAACCGCAAAATGACCAACACAAGAGCCAAAGAACCACCAGTAAACCTGAAAGAGATAGCAAAATGCATCAAACTGCATTAGCATGGTCCATACAAAAAAAATAAAAAATAAATAAAAAGATGAAGGACGTTGTTGTTGCAGCTGGCCAACTGGCCAGCCGCAAAACAAAGCCTGGTCGGTCGATGCGTCCGATCGGCGTTGTTACCGTCGGCCAAGCAAGCGAGGCCTGGTCAGTCTCAGCGACCCACCGACCAGACAGAGGTGCTGACCGGTCGACTGCACCGACGACCGGTCCCTTTTGCAAAAAAAAAATAAAAAAGGTAGTGGCGAACGGTCAACCATGACTAACCGGTCACCGGCGGTTAACCATAAGTAAACCGGTTAAAACGACCAAATAGTCGAACCGGGGCTGGCCGACCAATTGGCTGCAAGGAGCGACCAAAAGCAAAATAAAATACTCGGGTGAGGATAAGATAGAATAGAAGCACGGTTGTAAGCAAGGAGCAATTGCTGCAGAAAATACACCAAGAGGAGGTTTAGTACGAGGAAACTCTTCCCCCCCCCTCCCCCCAAAAAAAAAAAAAAAAAAAAAAAGAAGAGAGAGACAAAATAGCAAAGAAAAGGGCTTACCCGCAACTGTGACCTTCAATGGCAACGGGAAGGAAAGGGCAATGCCAAAAGAGCCTAGAGAGAGAAAGTATGAAGAGAAAGGGAAGAGAAGAAATGATGACATTGGAAGGATATATATTATTTCCAAAAAAAAAAAAATGAAAAGAAAGAAGTACAAAGAGTGCAAGGGCCAGGAAAAGATGGCTACAATGAACCTCCCAAGGCTGTACCATCATCTGGTTCAAAAAAAAAAAAGGGTGTATCATCATCTTGGTCAGTGTGCATAGAAATTAGTAAAATCCAAAGGTCCCTCCCAAGGGTGTACAATCATCTCTGTCGGTAGGCTTACGATTTCGCTGCTTCTTCAACAGTTTTATCACGGTTTTCGGCATAAACAATTAGACACCCATGTGGTCTCCGGTTTCATATCTGAAAGCAGCAAAATTTGTTTGCCCATGTGTATACATTGCAAATACGATAGAAAATAATCGAAAAAAAAAATTAAAAAAAAATAACATTATGTTGGTATGGTAAAGCGATGAACGCATTAGATTTTCTCAAAAAAAAAAAAAAAAAAAAAAAAAAAAGGGCGACCGACTGGTCAGCCCCAAGGGCTGGCCGACCAGTCAACTGCAAGGAGTGACTGGCCGGTCACGCTGGAGACCGACTGTCGGCCAAGTCAACAAGGCGAGCAGCACGGCAGCAGCGGAGACAGGAACGCCGGCGGTGAGCTGTGGCAGCAAGAACCATCGACGGTGAGCAATGGCTACGAGAAGCATCGGTGGCAAGCGATGACCGTGAGAAGTAGCGGCGGCGGGTTGTGACTACGAGGAAGAAATTGACAGCGAGCAACATTGACGACGAAAGCAACAAGCTTAAAACGTCTCCTCCGATCTTCATTTCGTGGTTCTAACTTCTGACCGCTGCAACAAACTAAAAGGGTGATGAAAAAGAAAAGAAAAAAAAAAGAGAGAAGAAAAGGAAAACACGAAAGTAGCAGAAAGAGGTCATGACTAATCCCTATTCCCTCCAATGTTGGAAAAAAAAAAAAAAGGGAAGTAGCCACATCATCCCACAACACCCTTTGGATCAACAGTTTTACAAATTTCGACTTATCATACTCTCATCAAGACTGACTCTCAATGACTACCAAAATCAATTAAGAACTCAAAGTCGAATGGACTTCACAACACACATGTTTCTGCTTTCAACTTTCCTCTGCTCAGCGTGCTGAGCAATGCCATGTGCGAGAGCTTGAAAACAAACACATCTCAGTATGAAATTGATAGTATAAACTCTATGATGCAAACTCGAATCCCAAGTTGCCTTGACGCTCCATGCTTCCATCTCAACCAGACACTCCAATCAGATTCACTCTTGAATTGCCCGTTCACTGCACGGTTTGAACTTTCCTCTGCTCAGCATGCTGATGCCTTCTCCAATTTCTCTTTCTCAATCTCGATAATGGGTGACTGCAACTCTTCATCGTCACTAAAATCATCATCGGGCGAGTCATCGTCGTCATCATCTGCCATTTCTCTATCAGACCCATCCTCATCATCATCACTTTGAAATCCATCCATCTCAATCTCGTCTTCAGCTTCCTATGCCTTTGCAGCTTCGGAAGATATACAAGGTAGAAAATGATATCAAAAATTAAGAGAATATACCATCTAAAGTGCAAATGAAACAAATAGAAAAACCAGTATAGGAAAAACATGGTTACTTACCAGCAAGTTGATCCTTGTATGCAACAAGCTAGGAGGTCAAGAATGGCCTTAAAAATTCCCTCAAGCAATCTGTCAATAAGAAACAAACTCAGAAGTTGTAGTATGCCCGTTCACTGCACGGTTCATGGCCAACAAGAAAAATAACTAATCTTACTTATATATTCTATTTATCATTCAAAACAGTCCATGAATATAACGAATCACCTATGGTACGGTTGTTTGGTATTGCCCAGTCGTGGAGTAACAATGATAATTTGTTTACCATCATATTTCAAATTTGCTGAGACTATAATCGAGAAGAATGCATGCCTCTTTTAGTAGCCAATGAGCTTATAAAGCAATTGGTCAAATGGCGGCAGTTCTATTGAGTTCAAGGCCCTAACATGAAACAAGTATTTGTGAGGACTGTTGGTCCCGATAGAATGAGATGAGAGTCTAGAGGGGGGGGGGGGGGGGGGGGGAATAGACTCTTTTCGTTAGAAGCCCTAAACGTCACCTTTCGGTGTCTTGGCGCAGCGGATAAGATAGATTTGTTTTAGATACTTTGCACGAGTTTGCGTAATTAGACAAACTTTCGGTAACGATAATAAATGAATGATATGAGAGCAATAAGGAAAAGCATAAGTAAAGATATAGAGAGGACACGAGATTTTATAGTGGTTCAGCCAATGTTGCCTACTCCACTCTTCTTCCACAACTGTTGGAAGGATTGCACTATCACTCTTAGTACAAATACACAAAGACTTCCTTGATCACTAAGCCGGACAACCTTCGTAGGTTTTTCAACTCCTCGAGTTTACTCCGCCTCTATCAACTTCTTCTCCTGAGTTGAGGTTGGTAGAAAATGATTTCTTGAATTCTCCAACGATGAGGTCTTGACTCTGAGATATGATTGCTTCAAATGAATGTCAAGACTTCCTTGAGGTGTAAGACAAATGATTCTTCAAGTAACTTAGCACCTCAAAACTGGTTCACAAAAGCTTTTAGTAAATTGTAGACTTTTCAAGAGCTTTTGTAAGTGAGTAAGTTGAGTGATAATGAACCAGCACCTTCTTAGTTGATGAAGGTGAGTTTATATAGGTGATGAAAATCCATCCGTTGGAGGGAGATGAAATTTTCGAACCTTTTAACCATTGGACAAGGACCGGAGAGCTTCATGCATTAAATGCTCCATTAATGAGGTTGTACCATGTAGCCGTTGAGGGTATGGAAAGCATTGGGGTTTTGTCCTTTAGCTCCAAGAGACGGTACATCTTCATTTAATGCTTCTTGAAAAGTGTGTCCCATAAGATGAAGTCCTTATTATCCTAGGAAGTTGTCAAATCAGACAGGTGAAACATTCTTCTCGTTGTTGAAGAGAAGTAATGCTTGATAAAGATCGTCTTTCACAAACACTGTCCTTTCGTGCTTGTTGACAACTCCTGCTTGACTCTCATTGTTGTTCTTCATGTCTCGTGTCTTCTTTCGCCTTGGAGACCCTAACATCTAGTCATAACTCATTTTCGTGTGTTTGTCTAGCTTAACACGAATCACAGGGGAGTTATGGCAACTTTCGTCTAGGACGAAAGCAGCGATTAAAAAAGCTAATGGTTAGGGGTTTACTTTTCTACATTACATTGGTATCATCAAAATCCTAATATAATGTTCCTAACAATTTCCCCCTTTTTGATGATGCCAAAACCTATACTCTTCTTATAAGGCTGATAAAAGTTCCATAAGGATTTTTTCTATTATAAAAACAGCCATACTTGAGAGTTTACAAGTCTTTTTCTAGATTAAAGCGTTAATAAGCGAGACAAGGACAAGTGACTCAAACAAGTGACACGAGATGTGTGACAATGAGAGTTTCATATATAAAGATGTAATCATTACAAAAACTTTATAAAGAGAAACACAACGAAATTTAACTTACATTTATAAAAGCTTTGATTTCTGTTGTTCAGCTTCCTTGAGTTCTTGGTCATTCTTTTCCTTTTGTTGCTTTAGCATTCTGTTGAAGTCAATTTTCTCATTGATTTTTGCTCTGAAAACTTTAATAGGATTAGTCCTGACAAGCTCTTCATGTTCTCCTTTGATGTTCAGACCAATGTAATTGTTGTAGGCTTCCCGAATGTTGCTTCCTTCAACAATACCATACTTCCACCACGAGATCAGTTCAAACGAATTCATGCCTTCTTGGTAGCTCTTTCCTGATTCCTTGTGCACTTTGAAAGCTGCATTATGCATGACATTTTGTGGGGAGTCTTTGGTTACATTAGAAAGGTCTTCAATGAGATTCCTGATCCTTTCTCTTTCCATTGCTTCATCTTCTTTTCTCTTTCTTTCTTCATCGTGCTTCCTCCACAGTTCTTTGTTTGCTCTTTTGATTCTCTCATTTTGAGTGCTCATGTGATTTTGTCTTGTATAATTGTCTTTTGTTTTCAACCAAATGGGATTATTGCAACCCTCGAATCGTTTGCCACTGCCTTCTTCATATGGGACGAAGTCCACAAAGTTTCCTATGCCATCCATAGTTACTTTGTTATCTCTCATAAGTTTCTGCCTTAATTTCGTATGTTCTCTCTTAGGCAGTCCTGTGAAGATGTATTTGGCTTCAGAACCAAATGATTGTCGAGGCTTAATTTGTTTGGAGGATTGGTATCGACCATGATATCTTGACTTCGAGGAGTGGTAACCACGAGACTTGGAAGGTGGATGAGATGGATTCGTGTTCCTTTGGTCATAGTCTCTTGGTGTCCGAGAGGGAGAGTGTCGTGCTTCACGAGCTTGATCTTTCATGCTATCTCTCGGCTGATCATCATCCTCATCTTTGTCATCATTTCTCTTTTCCCCCTTTTTGGCATCATCAGCACAGGTGGTAGAAGGAATGGAGGAGACCTTGTTGATTGTAAGCAAGATATCCTGAGCATACCCGAGAATTTGAAGTGCATATTCGCCCAGTTGGTACGAATTGTCCTGATATGTGTCAATCTTTGTACAGGCCAAATCCACACGCTCTTTGAGACCAAAATGAGAGTGTTTGATTTCGTGCTGTTGTCGCGCAACTTTGTTCAAAGAAGCTTCGAGATCATAAAGTTTCTTTGTCATTCGCTCAAGGAGCTTGTGATCTGATTGGCTTTGTTGCTGCGGTTGAGGCTGTGCTGGAGGTGGAGATCGAGGTTTAGATTGTGCTGCTATCAGAAAATCGACCTTCTTGCATAGATCATCCATAACTTTCGTGTCCTTTTCTCGTAAAGCAAGATATTGCCTATGGATGGTCTCGGCTGAATGAACAGTTCCTCTCATGAAGTTCATGATAGTCCGTGGGGACTCTGCAGGGGATTCTTCCTCAATGTTTGTTGGTGATGTGTCCATGTGATCATCTTGAGGTGGTGCTTCCCGTTTTCCACCACTAGCAGAGCTAAGAAGAATTGGTGAAGCTTCTAGTTTGCCCTCACGCATACTTTCCTTTCCTTGCTTGATTGGAGTCTCATCTATGGGTTGGATAAGCGGAACAATGGCACGAGACAGATCTTCGAGATGAGAAGTTGAAACTTCTTCCAAGTCATCACTGTCAGATGGTAGACTTCTTAAGGGAGATCTTTGAGGGTAGGTGTCATAGTCAGGACCGATCAAGATTGTATGACTATCTTCGGGGTCGGCTTCTTGAGCACCTTCATTGCCCAACTGATCATCATTATCATCATCGTCATCATCATCAGCATCGTCAACATCATCATTATTATCATCTCCATCTTCATCTTCATCTTCATCACTCTCGCCTTCTTCAATCTCTCGTCCAAGCTCATCTTTCTTGCCACTGACATTACAATTTGGATCATTTTGGTGTTCCTTCTCTAAAGTGGTCTTGATCTTTGAAAGCAACATGGCATATCGAAGTTGCTTCATTTCTTCTTCATAAACTGGATCCAAGGGTGGCTTGTTGAGCTCGATGCAGATTGGAGCTTTATCTCTCCCGAGAGTGCGATTTGTCATCTTGTAAGAGAGAACGCGATTGATTTCTTCAATTCGAAGAGCTTTTGAAACATCCTCAGTGCCAATCCATGCAAGTGCAAAGTCTTCTTCATCCTGCATTGCTTCAAAAGTTTCAAGAAAGGTCCGTAGGGGAGCAGTGCGCCACTTTTGCCACTACAGAACTCGTTTGTAATCCCTTTCAATGGATTCTCTAAGCAACTGATCTCGTCTACGGCGAGAAACCTTTACTTCAGGAGCTGGAGCTGAAGGTTTTGGTAAATCCGGAGAAGCTACTTGCACAACGGCTGCCTCGTCTACCAACACAGGTTCTTGTGTCAGAATTACCTGCTCTGTATTGGTAGGTTCTTGTGGCAAACAAGGCAAAGATATCAGAGCATCAGTCACCTCTTTCGTCTTTTCTGGTGACCCAGGTTCTTGTGGAAGACTTAAGCAACTGGCCTCCATGTCTACATTAGCAGGTTCTTGTGTCAGCTCTCGAAGGAGTTGATCTGCCAAAGTAGGTTCTTGTGGATGGTGGTCTTGAGGAGAACTGAGATCAGACTTGGGTTCTTGATCATCAGGAATTTTCTCAGGAAGAACATCTTTCGGTTGAGCTTCCCCCTCAGAAATTGCTTCATTCGAGATTATTTCCCCCTGTGAGGATGCATCTTTCGTGTCTTCTTCTTTCGGTGTAGAAGATTCCTTCGGGAAAGATTTCGCCTTGACGGGAGACCGAAGGTGACTCTTTTTGATAATTCTGGAGAGAATCAAATTATCTTCTTCTTTGGATGAGTCTTTGACAATGATTGTTTCTGGTAGAGGAGAGGATGGAATAGGATCGTTCTTCTCTTGTGGAGATTTTGAAGGGATTGGAACAGCTGAGGTTTCTTCCGCCTTTTTCGCCTTGCTTCGAGAGGAGTGCTTTTCTTGTTTTTGTCCTTTCGGCTTGGGTTGATCATCTTCTGAAACCCTAGGTGTTCTTGATTTCCTCTTGACTTTGACCTGCTCAATAGGGATTCCCAACTCCAACGCATTCTGCTTGTCATACCCCGACGGTTTTTGTTTCATGTGACATGCTTTCTGTCCAGGCCGAATTCCTGGGCGCAGAACGACTCCTTTCGTTGCCAGAAGATGGCTTATCACAAAACCATATCCTAACTTCTTCGCAATGTCTCCTGGACTTTTTCGATGAAAGGTGATGGTGTGAACAATATTGTTGAATATGATCTTCGACCAATCGACTTTAAATCCATTCAAGAAGGCATGCAGCATTTTCAACTTCTCCTTCGTCACATCATCAGTGCCCGAGGTCTTGTGCTCGACGAGTTTATTGAAGATATCAACAGTGAACTCATAATTTAGCCGAAACCATTTCTTCTTCAACGGCCATGTGATTTCTGCCTTGGATGGTGCGTGATTGTTCTTGATGGATTCGTAGAACTCCTCCGGGTCGAGATGATAATAGATAATATCTGTCTTGTAAGACTCATCTCTTTGTGGAAACCCGTATATTGATCGAACGTCCTCCGAGGTAAGGACCACATGATGATTATTGACTCTGGAAGTGATAGTCAAATAATCAGAAGATATTGAAGCATTCATATAAAACTGGGTTACATCAACCGGGTGCCAAACAGTATAGAGGTGTGTGATGAAGCTATATAATCCTATTTCTGTGAGGAGATGTATGATGTTTTCACCAAATTTTCTATCCAGAATATACTCAAGGAATCCATGTGCGTCCCACATATTTCTCCCTACGATGAAGGGTATTCTGGATTCAATGAATCTCAGGTCCTCAGTTGGAAAGTTTGGGACTTCCAAGTTGGAAGGAGTTTCTGGTTCAGGATTAGATGGTGATGCTTGTGGATGTTCTGCCATAGTTGAGGATTCGAGAGAGACAGAGGGTCAGAAAGAATGAGAGTGAGAAAGGTAGGGTAAATAGATCAAAAAGGTTTAAGAGGGTTTTATAGAACTCCGAGTATCCGGGTATGGATGATCCGGTTTAAAAATTCAAAACACTCCCGGTTCTTCTTCTCCAAAAGGTAACTGATCAACATGGGGGAGTGATAAGATCGTGTGCAAATAAAAAACGATCATTCCCTCATTTAATGAGGTGAGAGAAAATCACTCGAGTGCTTATTGGTGCATTAAATGCACGTCACATCATGTATCAGACAGAGTGGGGGAGTGGACCACTTTTCTCGGCCACATGATCCCACTAGGATTCATCTGAACGGTTGGAAATAAAAGCTTAAAGCATTAAGCATGTTTAGTTATGATTCCAAACCCGAAAGAAGATAAAGTTTCCATAACATCAGACTTGTGAGACAAATAAAGTCAAACATATCCTTTTTACAACAACAGAAATGCTTCTCCAGAGAGAATTATTACACAGAACAATACACAACACAAACAGTTACAATCTCTCGTGCATTTGTAGGCAGACTTCCCTTCTACACATTGCAACCCTTCTTCTTTTGTTCGTACTCAAGGTATTCCCTCTTTCGGATCTCATGAGCAAAGACTTCAGCAATGAGGGTCTCATGATCTGCTCCCAAGGTTTCTCTAGAGAGACCTCGTCTCTCCATGTCATTTAGTTTAGCTATTACCTTGGCCTTAGCAAAAGAGTACAGTGCCCGATATTTCTCTTCGTGCTTTAGAAGAGGGGTAAGTTCAATAAGAGAGTAGAACTCTGAAATTTCAGGTTCTTTCTCAGATGATGAGCCTTTCTCGACCGAATTCCCGAAATCACGGTGAGACATTTTTCCAGTCTCAGATAAGCTCTTGGATGAGAGTGTCTTTTCTTTCCCTTTATCCATGAGTTGAAGAAAGAGATGAGTGAGTTCATAGTAGATTGAGAGAGTCCATTAAATAGATAGACCGAACCTCTCAAAAGGTGTGTCCAACTGTCTTAACCAAGACACTGTTTAGGGAATATATTCTTTTTCAAGAATTTTGTCCTTGATTCGAGATTATTAGATAGGTGATAGATAAGACATATAAAGTCTCGATCAAAGGAAATCAGAGCCAGTTAAGTTTTATTCATCATAGACCCGAGAGAAGAAAGTACATAGGATAAGATACAACAGACAAAAGATCATATTTTCTTCCTCTCGTTTTTCTTGACTCCAGATGGTTCACCTTTGCCCTTTTTCAAATCTCCCAGCATTTGCTTGAACCATTTCCCGGTTCGTGGGTAGTTTGAGGCAGATGAGGATTCAGGTTCTTCCTCCTGATCATATTTCTCCATTAAGTCTTCTTGTGCCAGAAAAGCCATATAGTCTGGGTTTGGAATCTTGGTAGGATCTTTCGAAGTCTTCTCTTCACTTTCAACAATAAGACCCGCCATATCATCATACTTAAGAGACGAGTCGGAATCAGAAGGAATTTCCACTGGTGCTTGTGGACTGTTACCAGGGTAGAGGTCACCCTGTTCCTCCCTGAGACGTCTAGCACCTTCTTTCAGTTTGTGAGAATCACCTCTGGTGAAAGGTTTCTTTGGAGCCATGGTAAAGAAAAGAAGGATGAGTATAATGTGAAGAATTCACCTCCTTTTATAGCAATAAATCCACATAGCTCATGTGTCTGTTACACATTAATTTCAATGTTACAATTAATGCTCATAACTGTAGTCAAGGAGTCATTAATTCCAAGCAAGACTTTGACTGTTAACTTGTTTCTTTATGAAACTCCAACTTCAATGATCCTTTTTTTTTTTTTTTTTTTTAAAAATGTAACGCATAAAATTATGGCTCTTTTGATCGGAAAACGTATGAGTGATGAACTTTCCTGTGATTTGGACAAGTAACATATAAAGTTAGGCATAGATAAGATAAGCAGTCATTCTAAGTAGGAAAGGATAGCATTTTTATTAGATCACGAGGATTCCAGGTCACGAGAGTACAGCATACAAAGGCTTAGAGAAAACGATAAGGCACGTGAAGTTCCAGACGAGTCATCTCTTCGGTCACATCAGTCAGATTTGCCATCTTTGCATATTCATCCAACTCCTCAAGTGAGAGAGTGGGTTCGGGTGACTGAGTTAAGGGCCGAGAGTGAACCATAGTGACATCTTCAGAAGATTGTTCACTAGGTTGAGGAACTTCATAAGATGTTTGCTCATTAGACTTTTTCATCATCAGAATTCTCTCATTAGCAAGCCGAGTGGCTTGTTCCATGCAGTAAGCCTTCTTAGCCCTGGACTCGTTGACCAATTTGTCATGAGTTTCCTTGTCTTTTGGTGCTGTGTTTGGGCATGGAGTAGGTTACGATGACCCTTTCCCCATCTTCTTCAAGCCTTAAGATGGTAGCATTCGGAAGCTTGTTGGCTTCTTGCATATGATGTTTTAGACGTTTGGCCCTTTTTTCAACTTCGTCGCTGTTTTCCTTCCCCTTATCCATTCCTGCAATCTTTATCCTTCTCTAAGATCTTGTGAATGAGTAAAGCTCATGAAATAGAAGAATAATATATAGGCAAAAGATAACGTGCGAATCTTAACAAAATCTTTTAGATGCTGACATCATATTTGCATGATAGAGTCATAAACTAAAAAGATCATGAACAAGATAACATCACAATTTGTCACCGTGGCCTAACAAAGTTATTCAAGCTTTCTTTTTCTTGCTGCTTGCGGGGGACTTGAGAGGAGATCCTATCTTGGTGGGGGTGCCTGAGGGTGAGTAGTCAAAACTATCGCTTAGTTCCAGCACACTGTTTTCTTTGATATATCCAATGGGGTTACCAACAGAGTGGAAGGATTCTCGTGACTCATTATCGGACGTGTCACGGAGAAGGTTTCGTATGTGTTGAGCGTGTTCAAGGAACTGATTAAGCTGTTGCTCAGTCACTAGTGGCTCACTGAGAACTTCACTCTTTCCTTCTCGTGCCTCCGTAATGGTTCTTTCGCTTCCCGTACTCATTCCTGCACATGCAAAAACAAACACTAGAATTTTCGTTAGATGAGAAATTTATTCTCATAGTGTACTTCATTTATAAAGATCCTTGCGTATGAGGATGGATCAAATCTTTTGATTTTCGAGAGCAAGAATCTTTGCAGATCTGATTCTCTTAGCTTTATGTCATTTCAATCATTCCAAGTTCATGCCTTAAAGAAGAG